CTCTCAAGAGACAGTTAAAGTAACAGAGTCGAACGTGGTTCTGTATCGTAAGCCTAAATAGTATCGACAGTGGTTCTATATATTTGGGATTATAAAACAGAATCGAACGTGACTCTATAACCAAACATACATCATTTAAGTAAAACAAAACACTCAAATAAAGTAATGTCGCTCCACTTCCACAAAAGACTTCATCTCTAGCGCAACAACGCTTAAGTTGGTCATGCGCTATAGGGAATATACGACCAAGGTAGATTTCCCATCGATCGATGAAGAGACCTACGAACAATGTAGGTCTGCAATAGCGTTAATGGAGAGCGGCATTAGGCAAATAAGTATGGGCACGGAAAAAATCCAAAGACTATAACGAGATCAGAGAGGAGTACAAAACTTGTAAAAATAAGGCAGATAAGAAGGAGATAATGCTTGAAATAGAACAAATAGATGAAGAATCAAATCTTCACTCTGTATTAGCCGATGCGGACGAGCTCGAATTTATGTTGACTACGCGCCATGACGAAGCAAAGTGCGCAAGGGAAAGATTAGACGTAAAGTTAGGGTACGTCACGCAAAAAACCCAAAGGCTTCAAGGGAACCGTAGAAGGAGAAGACCACTGCTTGCATATTAACCTGGACGAGGGTTATGAGCAAGGCCCAAGCAGCCAGATTAGGACTCCCCCAGCAATTAACGCAGAAGAGTCGCAGTCTGTTGAGCGCATAAACCCGTCAAGAGACTATCGCTCAATCAGACCACCTCAGACGTCTCTGCCCAAATTCTACGGGGACGCCGAAGACTTTCCAGAGTTCTGGGCAGTCTTTGAAACTCTTGCTCATAAAAGCGACGAGCTCGACGTCATGGAAAAATTTTACTTTTAAAGGAAAGTTCAATGGGGAAAGAGCAGAACTCCATAAAAGGGATAAGATTAGTGTCAAAAATTTCAACTGGCTAGTTCAGACCCTTCAGAATAATTAGAGTGACCTTTCCGTAAATAGGGCCCAAATAGTCCGAAAGTTGGTAAATCTTAGGTCAGCTGGGATTTCGGCAGAAAGTTGCTTGGCAACTTTTGACCAAATACAAGTCCTGGTTCACCAAATAATATCAGCAGGCTACGACGTAAGAAAAACCTGTGATCCAATATGGTGCGAAACATATTGTCGAAACTTCCTCAGGAAGTCGTAAAGCCTGTTCTGAAACAGGGCGATCTCAAGATAGTTTCACAACGGGAGAATTGATGGCTCAATTGAAGAGTGAGATTGCCGATAAGCAACACGTTGAGTGTAGGTTGGGTCATGCCATAGGCAATAATCTCACCAAAGGGCATAATATGGCAATTAACTCGCGCCCCCAAATTAAGGATAATGCATTTTTTGCCATAGGAGTAATCACCTATCGCTTGCATGTAGAACCATTACGGATCAAAGCCATCGCCGAAAAATAATAGCTGACGAGAATAGGTGTTGGAAGTGCTGATCACCCAATCATAACAGCTTTGAATGCCTTAAAGCCAATTGCACGCGATGTGGCCAAAATGACCATGTTTCGTTGTGCGTCAAAAAAACTCATATGGTAGAGGAACAAATCCATCTTTGGCAGCCAAACCAAAGCAAAAGCAAGAAGAATTTCCGCACCGAGAGCCATCAGTGTAGTAATCGAGGTGAACCTTCCTCTAAGCCTCAAAGTAATCAAAACAAGACTCGTTACAACGTTCAAAGAAACCAGAACGATTCCGGAAAATTTTTGAATACTAACACCCAATGAGAAGAGGAAATATCGTTTCGCTTGCTAATGAGCAAAATCAGGCAAGTTCACAGCTGGTCTTTTATGACTGCTGAAGGAGACCTGTGGAATTACAAAAGCTCAAGACAGTCATAGAAGAATAAGTTGCTGAACGGTTTGATCTCCCTAAGTCCGCAACCGAAATCTGCACAATGTCGGGCATCGGTTGAGGCATCGGTATAGAAAATTTTGAAAGTCACACAGTAACAGCAAAAGGTGGTACTGCATTTGTGGAAGAACTCGATTTGAGAGTTCAAACGAAATCAATATTTACGAACGGGTTTCCTAGCTTCAAACCCGCTCGTATGGATTCTCATTTTTTGAAAGAAAACAATATCTGTCCGGCAAACTCAAAACTACGAGGGGAACACCAACGTCCTCACATTTCAGTAGGGCTAGACCTTTACCATGAATTAATATTGAGTCAATACTCCATGGGAAGAACGCCTTCAGGTCATCATATTGCAAAGACAATATTCGGGCCCTTCTTATACGGTAAGAGAACGTTTGGGGAGAAATCCACCGAACCTAAAACATACTATGAGATGACGGCAGTTGTGAACAACTTCAGTCCCTCTCTGTCAGGCAATAACCGCGCAGCAGAAGCAAATGGGCTCAGTTTAGCAAGAGAAAGCTATGCAGTCAAAGCGCCTATTGAACACTCCATAGGCAAAAATTTCACGAAAAGAAGACCAAGAAGCTCTAAAGTGTCAGGAAAAGAAGCAGGAATCGGTCTAGCTCACTCTACATAAGATCGTTCCCGGAAAACTCAACGCATACCAATGAGCTATACAAGAGTAAATTATATCACCAAAGTCCAATGCATGCACAGAGTAATTGCAAAGGAACCTCGTATCACTACAAGCAGCGCCCTCACTGTTACCTTTCGTCTAGATGCCTTAACCCACATAGCAAACCCAATAGTTTTGCTCATCACAAACACAAAGTAATGAATTCTGGGTATCTAAACGTCGAATTCGTAAAAAAACTGTATTCATTCTTGCCCAATTAGCGTTTGCAGGGTCAATAATAACAAGGTGCTAATACCTGTACCCAAACCTCAGTAATAGTCATATTTACGATTCACCAGTCGAAAAATAAAGGCAAAAATCAATTGCCCAAATGTACCCATTGTCAATAATCCATCAAGCTAAGTTCACTATAACAACTATTTACTATATTATGTGGTGAAGAAATGATCAAGCAGATGTTCAACCACCCGCCACCCACATTTTGGCTTCACATGGAGTTAACAGCAATTCTGAAAAAGCAACTCTAACATCCAAAAATACCAGCTAGTTGTTCTTGCGGCACCCCCGAGCCAGCTCCTTAGGTTCGTAATAAGATTAAAGAGATTGAGTTCAATGGTGTACACACCCGCCTCTGTAGGGCTGCGGCCTCGTAGTGGGTTATCCTCGAGACACTACCATGGTTCACTTTGATTGGATGCTACATTGCTGTTTTCCGATTCACTTATATCCAAAAACGGTGGGAGCCCGAAAAGGGAGTTTGAACATACTTCACTCTATTCAGGAAAGAAGTGCTTGCAGTTGTTATTTATGCAAATACTTGCATATTTTCTTTTTTTGCATATTTTCTATATTCATTCTTGCGTCTGCGGCCGTAGCGAGTGGCGGTGAGTTAATCGATGTCGCAATCCACCTCTGAGCAAACCACTGCGTCGAGATATCCTACTAGAAGGCGAAAGCCTATTTAGCCTACTCCAGTTATCCTTACTGCACCTACCCTGGATGAGGATGCACGTGATCTGCTTAATCAGATCAACGAGATTTTGGTTTCGAAAGCACCAGAAGCTATCCCGCTACTCCAGTAGTTTCTCAGTAAGTTGCCTTCCCTATCCCTTGAAGTGATTGAATTGGAGAAGAGAGAACGCTCAGTTGTGCTTTTGGGTGTGCCTGAAGCTGAGAAAGAGCTCCCGCGTCTCGACGTCAGGAACGCACCGAAAAGTACGTCTCGGAAATCTTAGACTTTCTGGACATCGAGGCACGACCGGTCGAAGTGTTCAGGATGGGAAGAGCTAGTGATAGGCCGAGATTACTTAAATGTGTTTTCTCTTCAAAAAAATTCCTCTTTGATACCCTGGCTCGGGCTCATAAATTGCACGCTTCCTCCAGGTTCGATGATGTTAAAATCAGAAAATCAATGACGCCGGAAGAAAGATCAAAAGACCAGGAGCTACGCAAAAAAAGCGTATGAGCGCAACCGAGATGAGCACAACGGCAACCGCGTTTTTGTTGTCTATCGAGGGGAAATAGGTAAAGCATCTGACATTCCTTCGATAAAAAACGAGGGCTCAAAAAACTTGTAGGTCATCAACAGCAACGCTGCCGTTGTGTGCTGCTAAATGCCCGTCTTGTGAGTAAACTACATCATTTCCACCATTTTATTGCATCGTTCAAACCCGACATAGCTTTTATAACAGAGCCATGGCTAAATCCTAGAACCATCGATGGTGAAATATGCTCAGATCTCCCCTACTACCTGGTCCGCAAGGACAGATCAACAAAGAAGGGAGGGGGTGTCTGTATCCTTTTTCATCAATTACTTTCGTGTGAGAAGATTGAGTTCAACTGTCCCAACATAATAGCGGATGTTTTATGTGTTGATGTGTTGTTCAGATCAGGGAACCGTCGCAGGTTCATTTTAGTGTATCGACCCCCATTCTCGTCCTCCTCCCAAGATGAGCGGCTCTTATCGATAATTTTTGACCTCGCATCTTCCACCACGAATGAGACCTTAATCCTGGGAGAGTTTAACCTTGCTATTGATTGGGAGACAGGCTTAGCAGATAGCCCTAGCGCGGTAGGATTTATCGATTTGTTTGACTCTCTTTCACTGCGTCAACATGTGCGATCACCCACTAGGAAGGATAAGATTATCGATCTGGTCCTATCCTCACAGGATAGTGTCTTGGCACTTAACTTTCTCCCGCCGCTAGGCACTTCTGATCACAATACAATTGTCTTCTTGATCAGTGATATTAGTGAGTGTCTCACACCTAAAACATGCAGAGATTACAAGCGATGCAATAAGGTGGAAATCATGCAGGTACTCACTTCTATTGATTGGCTCACAGTTTTTGCTAACTATTCTGATATGGATGATGTGTACAACAGGTTTTGCGTAGTAATTCAGAATATCATTGAGCAGTACGTACCGCTCAGAACGATGAAGGGGAGCAGGAATAACGAGTACCCTCCCCATATTTCTAATCTGATTCAGCAGAAGACTAGAATTTTTTTCAGCTCCCAAAACCCACTGAGTTCACTGGCGTTTACGTTTGTAAACAGCTCGATAAGCATTTGAAACGCTTTCTGGGCTACAAAATTAGACGTGCCTCGGCTCCAAAAAATATACGTAATCTGGCGTTGATGGTGAGTAAGTATACCAAATTCATACCGCCAAATCCCATAATCATTAAGGACGATGGAACTAAAATATCGGATGATGCCTCTAAAGTAGAAGCATTTGCCGACTACTTTAGTGGTGTTTTTAGATCGCGAACAAACGCGACAGAAGTGTCCACCAGTAGTAGCAGTTTGTTGTCAATTCCACTTGTTACCTCAAATGCAGTTGACAAGCATTTAGCCACTCTTAAACCTTCTCTCTCTCCCACGGCCGATAACATACCACAGTATTTCTTCAAGCATTTCAGAGGAGCTCTTGCCACCCCGCTGGCACACATTTTTAATTTGTCTCTGCTTACAGGTCAAGTCCCCACCATCTGGAAAACCGCCTTGGTAACCCCGATACCTAAAGTGTGTAATGCTTCTAAAATCTCAGACTTTAGGCCCATTAGTATATTACCTGCTCCGATGAAAGTACTTGAGAGACTTATGAAAGAACAGCTGCTTTCCTGGCTGGTAGTCCAGAAATGCATTCCTTTGGAACAACACGGCTTTGTACCTGGAGCGTCCACGTGTACACAGCTGCTTGACTGTTCACATGACTGGGCTGTGGCTCTAAATTCAGACCTCAATGTGGACATTGTATACTTTGACTTATCCAAGGCCTTTGACACAGTTTGTCACGCGAGCCTGTTGACCAAACTGGATGCCATCGGGGTGAGAGGGAAGATCTTAGAGTGGTTTAGTTCCTATCTGGAAGGGAGGAGAATGGTGGTACGCATCTCTGACTGTCATTCTCGACCCAGAGACTGCAGTTCAGGGGTGCCCCAAGGTGGAATTCTATCACCACTTCTCTTCTTAATCTATACAAACGATCTGCTGGCGCGCCTGAAAACTCACCCATCTGTTAGGGTGGCGGCATTCGCTGATGATATCAAAGTCTATGCTACCTACACCTTCCAAGACAAAGAGATAGTCCAAACAGCACTAAATGAGTCGGTTAGTAAGATGATAGAGTGGACCAGAGAGTGGAACTTGAATGTCAACTTCTCCAAAAGCCATCTACTTTCCCTTACTAGAGACTCTCTCCATGTTCAGTGCCCAGAATATGGCCACCTTGCCTCTTGTGATCTTGTCAGAGACCTGGGGGTTACAATCACACGAGGTCTCAAGTGGAAACTGCACGTCGATAACGTCTATAATAAAGCCATGAGAGTGATGCACAGTCTATTCAGGAACATTCACTGCTCGGACATTTTGGTATGGATTAAACTTTTTAAGATGTTTGTTTTACCCTTAGTGGAGTATTGTAGTGCAGTGTGGAGTCCCTTTCTGAAGAATGAGATCTGCAAAATCGAAAGGGTACAGAAGAGTTTCACGAGAATCCTTTATTACCGAATGTTTCCAAATTCAAATTATCCTCAGAGTCTGCCGTCATACAGAGATCGTTTGAAAGAACTTAATTTGAAGTCTCTTTATTACAGAAGAATACAGGCTGACTTGGTTTTAGCGTTCAAGATTTTGAGAGGTGAGCTGCGGCTTCGACCATCTAAGTATTGGACATTTCGTCCCACAAGCGGAAGGAGTGGTGGTTTTTTCCATTTTGTACCGAAAATGGGCGTTTGCAAACTCACGACCACCCAGCATAATTTCTTTTGTAGGACCAGTAGATGGATATGCAAGCTTCCACAGTCCGTATCAGCGAGCAAAACGTCTGAAAGCTTCAAGAGAGCTCTAAAAAAGATCGATGTGCTCCAAGCCATTGGTGTTGAAGATGTCGCCTGATATCCACTCGTGATCCTCACTTTAATTCATGACTTTGAACATACTCTTCTCAGTTTTTTTGGCACGCCTCTATATGCGTTTGTTCTTCTGCCATAGTTGTTAGTTTTGATTTGGTGACTCTTTTTTGATATGAGTGTTTTTGCTTCGTCGACTGGCCGAAGGATTCAGCAGTACCTGGGTAGTGTCAGACCATTTGTGATAGTCCTCCTTCTAGTAATAAAGGAACAGTATTAGTAGGGGCCACGAGTGCGGTGGCCAGATAAGCTTAAATTCTTCTGTTTTTGCCTTCTCTTTTGGATGAAATCCTCTCCTCTACTGGGAATGCAGGGCTGAATATCTGGGCGTATACCTAGCTTGCCGAGTCCACGAGGGTGGTCGGTATACCCGTGTGCCGAAGTCCCGGCAATTGCCTTTGACCTCATTCTTACGCTAAGGGCACCATGGCCGACTGGTGCGGGTGTTCGCCCGATAGCTTACCCTTGCTGCCTCAGTCAGGAATACACCCTCTCGTTCCTAGATTATCACTCTCTACCGAAACACTTGCCTAAAACGCATTTCATGTATATATGCCCATTTAAACCCCCATTGAACTGTAAACTCCGTTCCCGCCGGAGTATCGTCGTCTACGGCGACGATCCCCTAGAACTATGTCGTCGTCTCACCGTCTGAGACGACTCCCTAACTGAACCCACGCCCCAGAATGGTGCGGGGTAAAGCGGACCGAAGATAAGTGGGTCCGCACTTCTCTTCCTTAAGTCGTCGAAGCAAGACGTAAGTTTTTATCTGTCTCATAAAGTATTTATTACCATTATTCTGTGCTTTACTAGGGTAAACGACCGCACTTACTATATTATTGTGGTATATTTACTCCTATCTAAGGTCTAAGGCGACGATCACCTCACCTTAACTACTATCTCGTCGTCTCAC